GTCTTAACATCGAAAGTTCTGGAACTTCTAGATGTGTTTGATATCGCAAACTTTGTTTAATACCATTGGCCTCATGTAAACAAAGGCTATACATCTGTACTATTATAATAAAGCGTAAACACACACTGCTTTGTTGCCTAAGATGTCAGCAATTACAGCATATTTTTGAATAATTCTTTCTTTTATAAAAAGCCCTTTACTTACGTCACGCTTTAGGCTATATATTTTCACGCCATTAAACTTAGAGATAAATATTTTGAATAAAAACCCTACTGTGGGAAGGAGACCATAAGTTGCTGCCAACATCAAGGAAGCAAGATTTCAAAGTTTTGTCATATCATTTTGACACTTGCTATTGATAATTTCACAAATGTGAACAATAAAATTAAATTTTTCATAATTTCATGCGGACAAAGTCGCACGGGAACAGCTAGTACTAATATAAAGTGGAAAGATTTGTATTTTTCTATGTAATGAAATAACTCAAAAACTACTGGGCCGATTTTAAAGCTATGTTAAATAATAAGATACTATGATCGTAATAAAAATGATATAGAAAACGGACGCTTACCATTACGAAAATCTCGCTAGCTTAAAAAAGGAATCTTTATCAACCGGCTTTGATATAAAATTGGAGTTAGTATTCCTTGAGGAGTTTTTCACAAACATCGGGAGTAATCTCGAAGAGGGCTTATTACTGAAATTGCCACGACTTAGTATTTACTTTGTTGATAAGTAGATTATATAATAAATATAGTTCTCGTACTTTTTTCTTTGTGAATTTTTGATAACATTATTACGTAATCTAACTTTTTAAACAGATTTGTACAGTCGTCAACGTTTTTTTCATACCCATTTCATTGAAATTTTATTAGGTAATTGGCATTATATAAAATTTAAGTTCCAAGATATCGATATATGCGTTATGTGTCCTTATTGATGAATGATATGTCTCTAACTAGCTGTTATTCGCGACTTTGCTCGCGTGAAATTAAAAAAATATAGTCTATGTTACTCGCAGACAAATTTACATACTAACAGCTAGTACATTTATAGTACATTTATATAGTAAATTGGCAAACGTTTTATCATCGTATTAATATTTCACTTAGTAAGCACGTAGGGTTTTACTAACGTAAGCAATACCTCATTCCTACACACGTGTATCACTACTCTCAAAACTTTTACACGCGGACAGATCAGGCAGAGCAGTAGAAAATACAGTACTGCTATTTTAAAGCATCTTTCGATAGTATATCTGTTGTGTTGTACGGCCTAGTTCTGCCTCTTTTCTGCCTTCGTGTGAAACTAGTATCCTAGAATTTTCTCAGAACTGATTACTGTACGTGACACTCATCTCAAGTTACCTATTGACATATTTTTTATCTTGATTATAAAAAGGACAGCTTAGTAACAAAGGTAAGTAAAACGCAAATCGCGGTTAACATTAATATTTTTTTTTAATATCAGCAGATTTTTGTTAATTTACTTATATTTCCTTTAAACATTCCAACTAAGCTGTAGGGCTTGTGCTAGGATATGGTTCACGACAATAGTCGAATGGCATAATTCGAATCCTCGACCGGAAGATCAGTAATCCATACCTCAAACCATTAGACTATTGGCGCTTATTGGCGATTAAAGCGCGTAGGTGACTCAGTGGTGTAAGCACTTGACTTGCAATCTACAGGTCTTGGATTCTAATCCCGTCATGTACCAATGTGATTTTAGATTTTTTAAATTTTCACATGTACATAATTTACTGGACGTTCGTAGGCGAAGATTCATATTAATGTTAAACTTAACTAAGTATGCAGGAAGAACCTCGTAAATTACAGACATTTGTCGTCTTCTAAACAATTTATAAAAAAATAAAATAATAATTTTTACCCACACATAATAATAAAAACACTCACAGAACAATTACGATGTTATAACTTTCATCTCACTTATTAGACAGCACTTAAAATTTTTCATTAGACATGATTCTCTATTCAGACGGCAGATAAAGCGTCGAAATTAATATTTCTGAATGCGGCACCGCTCAAGTGTCGGCCACGAATTTGCACCCGCAATAGATTCCAATGGAATATTGGAATTCTTCGTAGCACGGAAAAAGTTAGGGAAGGTATTCAATGTTGCTTGGACCTTGGTTATCGGTACTGCAGTTTTTTTCAGACTTATTGATACAGAAGATAAGCCTAAACTATTATTAACACTATATATCAATACTATTATTATAAAGAGGAAAGATTTGTATTTTTGTATGTATTGAAATACCTCAAAAACTACTGGGCCGATCTCTAAAATTTTTCACTAATAAATAGCTACGTTATGACTAACATAGGCTATAATCATTACAGTTCATTTCGGCGCAGACGAAGACGCGAGCAACAACTAGTACACTATAAACTGCATTCGCTAAAACGATTTCAAAATGTTACTTGAAAAACACATTTTTTAAAGTTTTTTTTATTGTTAAAGGTTTTAAATAACAAATGATAAAAACAAAAAAATACCTACCTACTAACAGTTAAAATCGTGCGTATGTAACTGTACAGATGTTGGCAAAAATTTAACTATGCAGTTGAAGTAAACCAGAAGATAATGTTGTCATATGTGTCAGGCTTTTCAAATATCTATAATGATAACATGGACAAAGTCCCAGGCAACAGCTAGTATTATAATAATATTATAAGACCTTATGATAATTATTTTCGGGTTTATTGCACCACGAAGGTTATATTCTAAGAATTTGAAGCTTTTGTTTTAAAATTTAATTTTGTTTTTTTAATTTGTTAAAGTATACTTTCAAAAAGCAGTTGAAACATAATTATATTTGATGTATGGAATAATAATTACTTAGTTTCCACGAAAAACGTTGCATGCCTAACTTGCTAGAGTTCAAAGCAAATTAAGTTTTTATTTTATAAAATGTTTGCACCTTTTAATTACAATTTTTTTAATTTAGCTTTCGCCCGTGACTCCGTTTGCGTAGAATTAAAAAAAAACAAAATAAATAGAATTCTATGTGTTCTTCCACACTATGTCCTATATCTATGCCATATTTCTTCGAGATCCAATCAGCCGTTTAGACTACAAACTCTAACAAACATCCATCCATCCATCGAAACTTTCGCATTTATAATATTAGTAAGATTCTTCAATCAAAATTTTCATATAGCTAAACACATATATAAATAGAAATAATGTTGTTAAAACTATCTCTGCCCACCCTTCTTTGTTGCTGGCATATACCTTTTGACATTTCACAGGACCATAAATTTCAATAATGAGCCACCAAATTTGACTGGTTATAAATCTTTATAATAAATTAGTTATTCAAGAAAAAGACATTGAAAATGTCCCTTAAGGTGACCTTGTCCTTGGAAAGTTTGCCAATTTTTACATTAAATAAAGAAATAAAAATAGACTAAATACAATCGTAGAATCAAGGCAATGTCAATAAATATTAAAAATAATTTCACATTTTCAAGAAATGTCGACTTTATCCAATTTTCAACGTAATTTGCGATTCTCTGTAAATAAGGCAATAGTGTCACCAACATTTTAATAAAAGGGGACATTTCATGTAAAGTTCTTGTTTGAATTTAATAATTTATTGATTGAAAAAAAAAAGCACATAATTATTTGTAATATTACGGTGAAACGGATACGAAATTAAAAGTAGAAATCATAAGTATGTTAAAACAAAATTAAAAGATATTTGGTGGCATTTGAAAATCTCTTACAAGATTGCATAATCTTAAAATTGTATTATTACGAAGATTAAGCCTGTTGTTAAAATGTAAAACAATCGGGTCTTTCCAATATAGTCTTTTACCATGGTCACCCTAAATTCATATTTGTATGGAATTCTTTGAACTCATGCAGCCAACCGCTCTGTGGCACTCGAAATAAACGATCTTAAAACCCCGATTCCACCAAGCAAATAGCCGAGGGAGTCTGGAAGTGTAGCCGGTCTATTTGAAATTGTACATTACTTTGCTCATAGAAATAGACGTTAGTACCGTCACGTCACGTGCAACCAGTCTCGCGGCTAATCGTGCTAGTGGAAATACGGTCTAACATTTTGCTGTGCACATTTATTTTCGTTTGGAAATAGTCCTCGCAGGACTAAATATGTGGTCCCAATTAACCGTCTCTAAGTAGTCAATTAATGTATGTCGAGGAGTTACTTTGTCTTTCAACAAATACTAAATGAGATATTCTGAAGCTGTTTTCGTTGTACTAAATCTACTTTATACCGACATATGTCAGACTTATAAATGTATTATCCGAAAATCTCTATCTCTGCCTACACTTGTGGTTCACGGTCGTGACTAAATTCTCTAATTATCACATCAAGTTTAATAAAATTAATTTGAACAATTGTAATAGATGAAATTTTGTTAATTAAAACAAAGTCTGTTTACTACTCAACGATGTATTCACGCTATGGAATATACCTAGCATTTAATATACAATGCCGTAAACATTTCCGCATGTGTATATAGCGGCATCTACGTAAATAACTACTTAGTGACAAGTTTATTTGTCTTATATTAAAAGTTCATTGCTTTTATCTCGAAGCATTGTGAAGTAAATTTAATATTAAATTATATTTAACAAGTATAACCGCCGCCTGCGAAACGTGTTTCAATGAGAAAAAAACGTATTTTATATGGATAATAGAACGTAAAAGATGCGGTGACGTATTTTTATACCCAATGCCCGTGGCAATGACCGCCGCTGACTTGTCGGTTCACGGCCGTTTACAAAGAAACGACGCCTCACTCGAATAATATCCTTGTCCAAATCTTCCATTACAAGTGTACTATAAAGCACAGTTTACCTTTTATATTTGATAAATACAATCTCCTCATTCACCCTGTATTTGAAAATAAATAAAATTGTATACGGGGCGCAGGGTACACCCCTACAAGTATGGAACACGCACACTTGTGAACGCCGGGGCGGACGAGAGGGCGCTACACTCGCGCCAGTCTCGCGCGGAACGCTGTCGAGGACGGACGCTTGCCGCGCTTTGTAATGCGATCGGACAATATAAACTAGTTTTACTTCGAAATATCTAGTGCGTTATTTTTTCAAATTCACGTGCGTTTGTGGACAACAATAGTGATTGTAACATTCGGTGCGTATCAGTTATTGTGTTATAGCACTATTCGTGTTGTTTACGATCGTTTAATATTGTTTTCGGTTTTCCTTTTTTTGTACACTTCCCTTCGTCCTGGGTATAAATACGTTGGGATAGTTGACGCGTCTTATGATTCACAGGGCGGTACATTAATAAAGGTTCGTTTCTATTTTCAGATTAACCGTACGGTTTGATCGGGAGCCGTTGACTTTACTAAAACAAAGCCATAGTTTGAGGTGAACGTGCTTCATTAAATCGTAAATCACAGGTACGTATTTAAATTTGAAGTCTTGCAAACCGTCATCTGATTGTAATTTTTTTGTCCGTTTGACCGCGTGCGTATACAGAAAATGTAAGATTTGTGTTCGTTTATTGTGTATTTTCCCTGTTTTGTGACCGGCGACCATCCTTTCCATTTTATTAGGTCTATACTTTTTCGATTTGCTAACATCTTACGTAAGCCTGTTCGTTTTTTGTAATTGATAATTAGGTCGTGTATAAAAGATTGAATCGGAGTATGTATTATGCTACAAGCATGCTTTATATAATTTTGTAACCTTTTGTTTGACATTTGATCAGGCCTTCGTCTGACTTATTGTATTACCTGTTGCTTGAACGCGTGTCCGTACGCTTCGATTCTTTGTTCGTGTGTGCAATTCTTATTCAATAAACACATCAAAGTAATCATTTTATTACAATGCATGCAGTATTTTATGAAATGTAAACATTGATCAAAATGTTACTCACTTTCCTTTGTTACAATTATGTAATTTTTCGTTTGACGTTTCCGTTTAATGTTAAAATTGACGGTTGTCCCTTTAAATTTTATTCTAATTATTATGAAAATAATTGATTGATAGTTTCTTCTTTGGATTTGATAGTATAAAAATATTATAGTGATGTATTACATAAGTGAAGTTTGTTTTGTTCTCTAGTTAAGTTGTGGGTAGTTATGTGGAAATAGGTATTTCGTTTATAATGAAATATTTAGTAATACAGTTTACTTTATCGCCTGTCCTTTCGAAATCTAGATAAATATGTGTCATAGCGATAAGGAATTGTAATGCAAGTTAAATGTAATTGCATAGATTCGGTAATAACAAGTTTTGGACTGGTTTGGTAGTGATTTTAAACAGTCCTGACATCAAATTGTTTGTGGAAATTGTAAAATGAAATTAACGTTTGCTTTGTTATTTTGGATAATATCAAAATTTGATATAAACAATAATATTTGTTATTTTGGATATTAAAATTTTATAAAAATGATAATAATTACTAAAAAAAATGCGACCATAGATTAAAAAAATCAAAAATATATCGTAGAAAGTACAGAGGGTAGAAAATGTTTATAAGGATTTTAATTATGTCCAGTTAACACGATGAATTGGGCTTGATAAGTTATTAGTTAGAAGGAAGGGGGGAGGGGTTAAGCCGGAAATCAATTCCGGTCACGTTGTTACCGATCTTAGAGGATACTAGTTTCGTTGTTAAGTTAACAAGTCGCAAGTTTTTATAAAGCTGAACGATAACTTGCCTTGAGGAAATAAAAATAATACGATAGTATAAAAATATTTTAGTTATCTTCCGGGTTTTAAAACATGTAAGTTGGTGATAGGTGGTGGTAAAAATAATTCAAGAACTCAACACTTTCGAATAAAGAAAATTAATTAAAAATTCAGTGTCTTATAGCCAAGCAAACACGTTTAATGTAAAAGCAAAATTAATTATGCAAATGAAACCTTCATAACTAATAGTTTGACCTAACACCGACAAACTGAAATTGCCCTAAGGCAAATATAGAGAGATATGTAATTCAATTCCGTGTCGGAGCAATATGCAAATATTGACGCTATCGTCTTAATTCCTGTAATAAACCCACTAATTTGCATATTATACGTTTGAGATTACATTCCGTATTCCAATAAGAAAAGTCTATTATAGCTCAGTGACCGGACGACTTCATCTCACATGTCTTTGTCTTTGACAAATTTGTCTCTGGGAGACTATAGATTAAAGAGTTTTTAAACAATATGTTCAATCTATGCTTCATTCAACCTATTATTTCGGTTAACTTTTTTTTACCTTGCGTTTTATCTTTATTTTTATCTTACCTTAATAAAAAAATTACCTTGTTACTATGCACTGACATATTAAGTGTTTTTTTAAACACAACATCAATCACATATTTCTAGAAGTAAAAGTTTAGTTATTAAGACGTTAAAGTATATTTAGTATTGGTTCGATGGTAACATATTTCGCGGTCGGTAATGGGAAAACAAATTAGTTATATTTAATATTCTAGGAAACGTCTGTGTACGTGAGGCAGCGCTCGTATTAACTTTAATACAAACAAATCGGAATTATAAAGACCGCCAGATGTTAGAGAACGAATCATTTGGCGCCAAAACTGTATTTATATTTCCTTAATTGTAAACAGCCAGTAAAAAACCCTATAGGTTTTTTTTTCTTTTTTATTGGTGTTTAAAGGAAAACTTAACTAACAGTACTTTTTTACATAAAGGGACATGTGAGTAATCGTGTTTTGCGTAAAAGCGTTAGTTCCGATTTTTATGTTTTTAATTTTTTTGTTTCACAATCTGTTAAAAATAACTATAGAGTATAGAGCTATTGAGCACAGTAAGGTCAAAACCATAAATGACGTAATTAAAACATACATTTCCTATTAAACTATAATTAGCATAGCGGATGTTAAAACATAAAAGAGTACAAAAAACATACACGCTAGACTAGACAAAAGAACATAACATATTTTTATGTTAAGTGCCGTTCAACTCTGAGCCAACTGGGGCGCTGGTTTTTAATTGGACCGCTTTATGTAATAGATATAATATAATAAAGAAAATACAATGCGTTATATTTAGCACTACCTATTGCCCGCGACTTCGTCCACGCAATATTAAGAGAAAAAAGTAGCCTATAATGTGCCTGTCTGTCCTTTCAGTGATAGTACGGTTGAAATCGGCCCAGTCGTTTCGGAGATTATCCAGAACAAACGCATCTTCCGGGCAGACAGACAGACAGACAAAAAAATTAAATGCGAATTCCGTTTTAAGCAACGCAAATACATCATCTTCCCGAAATCTGGTATTTTTCTTTCGATATTACAAACAGACATTCTAATTTTATTAAATGTATAGAAACGGAAATAATGACTGCTTTCCTAAGCGCTGTGAAGGTCTGTACAACGAACTAAGAATGTTTTTGTTATTATTTGATGATTGTAATGAAATAACTTTAAGAAGTGTCTGTCGGGGGTTAAGAACATATTTTTAGATTTTTCTGTTGTATACGTATATCAAACCGTAACCATGGTGACGGCTTTTTAGCCTAACCACGATCAAAATAACAATGTTTATCATACTATTTATACTCGTTTTCCGGGAATTGACACTTGGCATCCATTTTTAGATCACACGTGTGGCAGATATTGTGTTGATGAACATTGATTTTCCTGCTTTTTTATATCTCAAACTATATCTTTTTCTTAGATACCTTTTTTGCTAGCAACTAAGTCTTTATATTAAGCTAACACTAAACTAGTAATGCTGGGTTTCTGCAGTTTCGCGTCTGCCCGCGTGAAATTAAAATTAATACAAAATATAGCCTATGTTACTCACAGATAAATTACCTTTCTATTGGTGAAAGAATTTATAAAATCGGCCCAGTAGTTATTACGTGAATCGAATACATACAACAATACAAATTATTCATTCATATGTGTTAGGTTGAACTAAGTTTTAAAGGACAAATACTCAAGTTACGCAGTTCGGAAACATATTTCATAAACATATGGAACTAATGACATTAACGAATAGTTAAAAATAGCTGAGAAACTGGCCATAAGTCATATATTTTGTCTAACAAAAGCTATCTATAAAAAAGGAAACCGTTTTATGCGGTGATTTTTTTTTTCAAATGAAGTTAAATTCTACAGACGAGTAACAAAGCGTTAACCATTTTTCAGTTTTGACTGTTAATTACTTTCTTTGCTATATTTGCAATACAAAAGATACTTTGAATGTTACCAGGCCGGTATCAAAGCCGATTGGCGAATGCCGAACGGCAAAAAAACAAGTTGCCTCGTCAAAGGCACGGGGATACGCAAAGAGGATTCCAGGTTTCGTTAGACCGATTTGATCGAGGTCCGCTTTAGGAATTTATATTTCGATTTCATATGACTTCCGTAACTTTTACGTAGATAAAAAATGTATATATTGATTTTTTTAATCATATCAGATTAATATTATAAATGCAAAAGTTTTAATTAAGATGAATGGATGTATGAAACTTGGTATTTTTAAACAATTTATTTAAGTAATACCATCGTTTTAAACTCGGAGCAACACCTCTCTTCAGGACTCAGGATCGCGCGCGAATATCAATCCTCCTAATGACATTGACAGCTGTCAGTTAGAGATGTGACGTTTATGCCAGTAATCTAGTGTTGCGCCAATTCTATATCGCGGTACTAATTTTCTTCTTAATAGATTGAATGTAGAACAGTGTCTAGAAGAACATATAGGGTACTTCATATATTTTTTAATTCTCTGCAAATATAGTAGCTGGCAAAAGAAATAAGGGATGGCCTAAATGACATAAAATTATGGCCCATCTGGGTGGTCTTATGTGTTGTTTAATCTGTGGTTTCCATTGCCAAAACATTTGCCCATCGGTGATCAGATGGGCGGATGTTGTTGATATAAAAGTTAGTTTACATGAACATGGGTTATAAATACTCCTATGTGACTATCTTTTTCGATTCAAATGCTTCGACTATAAATCTATCAACAAATTTATAACACACAACGATAAAAGCACGAAAGTATCGACTAGCTTTGATAACGTTCTGCCAAAGAAATATAGACTCTATTGTGATGCGGTAAGGTTTAATTTAAGTTGGTATTCTGTCTATTTAACTGACCTTAGCCAACGATATTGTGAACAACCTTTTGTCCACGGCTTTGCTCGCGGCGAATATTTTTAATTAAAGTTTCTCTTACAGTTCGAGTTCTTCTTAGAAATACGTTTCTTAAAGAAGATCTGTTAAAAACGCGTAATCATTTTAGTATTAACGTGAAATTCATTTCATTTTTATTTTAATAAAACGAAATTAAGTAATAGTTAGCTTTTTCTCCTAAGATATTTTTTACTCTAATTATGTCAAATCTTGTAAAGATTTTTAAAATTTTTCAAAGGAACTTAATTAACTCTGTTTTGTCAAGCAATATTTTAAACATTGCAATAAAA